GCTAGATTGAGAATTCCTGGAACCATATCTAAATCCTTGCATTTAATTGGCACCTTAACACAGAAGGAACAAAAGACAAAAATGAAGGAAGTGAGGGAGGGAGGGATTAGGTCTTTGTTTTATAACTTTATTTCTTCTGAGTTTGTGTTGAGCAGGTACAAATGGTTTGGAGTGTCTCTCCCAGATACTTCCCACCCCATACCCCAATTCCTGCTTATTCTGCTTCCCAACATCATACTGGAGAGGGGTGAGGGGTGGGAACCATTGCAGTTCCTTTAGCTGCTTTCCCACACTTTGTCAGCCCTAATTAAGGAATGATTACTTGAAGGTTGAGTTTATGGTTTTTAAAAGTCTTTATGAGAGTTATTAACAAGAATCTAAAGTTTCTAGTACGAATTCTCATCCGTCCATATACTAATAAGCAGTAAAGTAAGTGAAGGAAGAAAAAAGAAGAGGAAGAAAAATAGGCCTGGAAAATTCACAGATTAAATAGTCAAAATAATCTAACATTTGTTTGCATTGTCTTATAAAACCTAAAATAGCAAATCAGGTGAGAGAAAAGGGGCTCTTTCCTCAAGGTTACCTTTTTCTTCCTTCCTTGGCCGTTGTATTTACTTAACAACTAACAAATACTCCAAGGTTTCACCAGTTATAAATTAATCTTTGTTTTATCTTGAAGACTTCATTTTCCTCATAACAACTTCTTTAAACTCTTATTTCAGTACTAGGATTAGATTTGGACGTGAGCAACAGAAATGGCAGCAGTGGCTTAAACAAGACAGTAGCTTATTTCTAGCTTTTGAAAACAAAGTCCATAACAATCAGAAACCCATGTTCCTTCTCTCTTGTTTCTCTCCTGTTCTTAACACATTGCTACCACCTCATTATCCAACATGGCTGCTGAAGCTCTAGCCATCCCATATCGCCCCATTCGACAAGAAGGGGAAAGCAAATAAAGTTACTCTCTCATCTTTTAAAGACTCCTACTGAAAGTCATATATGACACTCTGCCTTAAGCTCATTGGTTAGAACTTTGGCATGTGGTCATTCTTAGCTGCAAGGGAAGCTGATAAGTATAGCTTTTATTTGGAGTGACCAAGTTCCCAGATAAAAAATGAAGAAATAAGGGGAGGACAGATTGAAAAACAAAAAGCAGTATTTGACACAATTTACTCCTCTGTAAGATGAGAATAATATTAATATCTGCTTCATAAGATCTGTGTGAGGAAAAATGAGATAATGCATGAGGTTTGCACCAATCATAGTAATAATGGCTTCTTTCTTCCTCTGAAGGAAGTACACAAAATAAGTGTGCACTTTGTGGCAGTTCATTGCTATTACTTTTAAGCCTATGAGGTGATATCCATATTTTGCAAGGAGAAAGCTAAGAATCCAAGAAGCTGATTAACTCCCCCAGGAAACACAGAACAAACTGGAAGAACTGGGGCTAAATCCAGATTCTTTGACTCTAAATTCAGGCGTTCTTTCACTACTAGGTGCTACCTTTCCTTCTACCTCACCTTGCTATGACCACCTCTCTTATTATAACCCTAATGTTCACCAAGACAGTATCTAATATGCTTCTCTCCATTGAAAATGTGTTTATGCTCCATCCTAGCACTAACTCATTACCATCCAATGAGAGTTAGGAGTACTAGGTACTAATGGTGAAAGCATCACTAATCAAAAGGGGCTATACAACTGAATCTCTCATACATTGCTGGTGAAAAGGTAAATGGTATAACCACCGTAAAAATCTCTTTGGCAGTTTCTTAAAAAATTATTTTTTTAATTTTCAAATTAAATTTAAGTTTAAAATTTAAAAATGTACCTGCCTTATGAACTTAGTAATTTTATCACTATATATTTGTCAAATAAAAGGTATGAACTAGGATGTTATGTATAGCTTTAGTCATAATAGCTAAATGAAATAATTTTTTTTAAAAATGGAAAATAACCTAAATGTCTATTGGTAGGAAAATAAATAAATTGTGGAAATTTATAAAATAGAATACTATGCAGCAATAAAAAGAAATGAACTACTGACATATACAAGAGCATGGGTGTATCTCAGAAATATTATGTTCAGTGAAAAAAGTAGACCTAAAAGAGTACATACTGTATGATTCAATTTATATGAAGTTCAAGAATAGGCAAAACTAATACACGGGGATAGAAATCAGAATAGCAGTTGCCTGGATGGTGGGGGAGAGCAGGAGGATCAGAAAGGAATATGAGGGGACTTCTTAGGGTAATGGTGATGCTCTATATTTTTATTTAAGTGTTGATTACATGGGTGCATGTATTTATCATAAGTTAACAAACTATATACTAAAGATCTGTACATTTTATTGCATATAATTATATCTCAATAAAAATAATGAGATGGGGCTACAGAAATAAATGCTTTATATAAAGATCACAAAATATTTTTAGAAGGGAAGGAAGAATTAAAAAATAAAAATAGAGAATGTGTCTAAGATCTTAACCACAAAAGACATAATAAATAATGCTACTATATTTGAAACAAGCCCTTTTAGTAATACAATAGCAGCGCCATAAATAGTGTCTGTTTATGCAGGACTACTGTCACCAAGATTAAAGCTTCAAAGAAAAATAAAGTCTCTTTCACAAAAGAAGACAAAAAGAACCTTTCAATACTGTTTTCAACAAATGGTGCTTGAAATTCTATATTTTAGCCAGCCCAAAGACAATGAATGAATAGATTAAATGCCAAGAGTATATAACCTTTTCGTTTTCTGGCCACATGCAAGAGGCTGACTGTTTTAGTTTCCTACTGCTTCTGTAACAGATTCCCACAAATTTGGTGGCTTAAAACAATGCAAATATATTATCTTACAGTTCTGGAAGTCAGAGGCTTAAAATGGGTCTCACTGGGCTAAAATCAAGGTATTGGCAGGGCTGCACACCTTCTGGAGGCTCCAGAGAGAATCACTTTCCTTGCCTTTTCCAATCTCCAGAGGCTGCCTGAATTTTTGGTTCATGGCCATCTTCATCTTCAAAGCCAACAAGGGTAAATTGAGCCTTTCTAATGCTGCATCACTCTAACTCTTCTGCTTTCTACTTCCATTTTTAAAGACCCTTGTGATTACATTGGGCCCATCTGGATAATCCAGGATACTTTCTCTATCTGAAGGTCAAGTGATTAGCAACCTTAATTCTAGCTGCAACCTCAATTACCCCTTGCCATGTAAGGTAACATAGTCACAGGTTCTAGGATTAGGACAAGCACATCTCTGGAGGACCATCATTCTGCCTACCATGCTGAGCTTTAACAGAACAGTAAAATGGTATTTATACCATCTCTCTATTCATCCTTCCATTCTCTACAACGGCCATCACATGAATGTTTCCAAAGGTTTTAGGTTCATTTTAACCTGTTTGTTCCTCAGGTAAATGTGATAAAATAGCCCCTGGTCCATAGATTACATTCTACTTTCAGTTGTTTTCACTTAGATCTACAGTCTTCTGAACTGTGGGAAAAGGTCTCTGTTCCAATCTATTGCTGTGTAACAAACAACTTACTGGCTTACAAGATTGAAAAAATTTTGCACACAAGTCTGAAATTTGGGCAGGGCTTGGTGGAGACAGCTTGTCTCTGCTCTACTTGATGTCAGCTGGAGGGCTCGAAAACTAGAGACTAGAATCAATGGAAGACTCTCTCATAAGTTTGGCAGTTAATGCTGACTATTGGCTGGGACCTCAGCAGAGCTGTCAGCTGGAACACCTACATGTGACCTCCCCATGTGGCCTGGGCTTCCTCATAGCTGGGTTCCAACGGTGAGCATCTTAAGACACAGTCATGGATCTCACACAAGAGAAAGGTGTATCACCCCTTGTGGCCTGGTCTTGAAGGTGACAGCCATGTTTATTTTCTCAAAGTAACCACAAAGCCTCACCTAAATTCAAGCTGAGGAGATGGAGAGTCTACCTCTCGATGGAAAG